TACATTCTTTTTTTCAGTACTTGGGCTTGTTCTTATCTTTAACTCAGTGATTTACCTTCAAAATACCGTTGTTCATGCCACAACTGCAGCAGGTTATCGCCATCGTCTTGTCACCAGCAGCATGTCTAATTATGACTTTCTGTATAAAAAAGCCTTAACGGGTTCATGTATACTTTTAGACTGTACTTGCGACACCGTACCCGCAGAGCAACTTGTAAATTTCACGGTTGGTACTCCAACTACTGATTCAGCCGGTTGTCAGTCGTATACGGCGACTTGTGTATGTAACGGAACAGCAACAGCAGACTGCAGAATCCAAATTTATTCTGGCCATGGACTTGGCGGCGTTCACGTTGGATCATACCCATTTACAGACAGTCGCGCAATGAATGTCATTTGCTCGGATCTTTTTTATTATAATTCATCAATGACGGCTTGGGGTAGAAATATAACTATCGGCCATTTTGCGTCAGCGCTATGTTGTAACAATTAAATAAATGTGTTGAAATTTCCTGTCCGTTCTTGCTTCACTGATTCAGTGTCACAAAAAAGTTTTTCTTGACTTGTGTGTACAACTGTAAAAATGGTGTATATGTAAAGTGCATTTTTAACATTAGATTTAAAAGAAGTGGATTCCAAGCGTTCGTCAGATGTAAAGCAGTAAACACATTACTCTAGAAAATACAAAGTACTTCAAAGTTTTTAGCTAAATAACAGAAAAAAAAGTCAGCGTTAGAGCAGTCGGAAAGGTTTATTTCTGTAACCTTTGGATCCCTGTCTTTAAAGCCGTCATTTTCAAAAAAATACAAATTTCTGGTTAAATGCTGATGGTTTGATTGATTTGTAATTATAAAGGATCTATCGCAACGCTAAAAGCAGTGCATTTTATAACAAGCAAAACTGTTTATCCCTGGAGTGAGACTACTGGAGGGCAAACAGTTGGTCAGTCTGTCTCTAAGAAGCTACATAAACAGCGGAGCAAAGAGGCCTGGATCATTAATATCATCATTGTCGTTCTTGTTTTTAGGAATTAGAGACCGAAAGCCACTTTTTAAGGACTCATCAAGTATGGGTCAGGAGTTTTTACGAATCGACCTGTACTTATTAGGAGGGGAACATTCCCATGACCATCCATACTTCAGTCACATTTAGGATTATAAATAATTGATTATACCGTCCGCCGTCTACAACGAGGCAGAAATTTGAATTAGTTTTTGGGTTGACAGGGCGCTCCCGAAACAATTACAAGTCAGAGTGATCTGTCATGGTAAGCTAACACCAGTCGAGTCAACCTTTTTCGTTCTATTTGATATACAGGACTCTCAGTGTAATATATTGCTCGTGTCATGATTATATTACTGAAGGGAGGGAATTGAGATGGAGTTAGAAACATAATCTTCCTGCGCCCGATTTTTTCGCAGTGGTGTGAAAATGTTAATCCAGAAGGTGGAGGTCAATGACTGGAATAATATCATCCTTGAGAAGCGGATAGAGTGTGATCAAGTGAGGATAACAAGAGGACGTGAGATTTATGAATCATATTGACGTGACCGGTATTGTTATTATCTCAATATGGATAATACCCGCTACGAAACCATATCAAGACAGTCCGCCACAAGAAAGTTGTCAACGGCTTTGACGGGTAATTATCACCCTCATCAAAGGGATCTACTGGATTGACGCATGCGCTTAAAAGGCGGTCAGCGAATAAAAATGGATCCACCAGGAAATACAGAAGTCTGAGAAAGTAATCCTGAAAGTACAAAGGTTTACATCAAAGAGCAGTTGAGACGGGTAACAGGAGAGCAAGCTCAGGTACTACAATTTTTGAATGATGCGACTAACAGAGTTCTCGTAGTGCAAGCGGCGGCCGGAACGGGAAAAACCCACGTGATTTTGTTATACCTTTTAAATTTGATGGGAACACTGAAAGGAACTGTACTTGCAACAGCTTCAACAGATCTGGCAGTGCAGGAGATAGCAGAGAAGGTTTTATACGCCAAAGAACGGTGAAGTATTATTTTTACAATCAACGGCAAATGAAGCACTGCTCCTACAAATAGATGAACAGTTGTTGAAAAATTGTAGTGTTCCGAAAGTACTGCAGGCTCATGCTAAAAACAAAGTGAAGACAGTCAAAAAAAGTTTGCAAACCAATATTTCTCAAGAAAGCCACTTCACGACGGGGACTCGAATCATGAAGGAGAAGCTTCCCGTATTGCATTGGAGATACAGCAACCAAAGTTAATTTGTGGGACGGTGCCAATAATGGGAATGTTGCTGCAAGTTTGGGGGCAAAATTTTGACAAGAAATTTCTACAATGTTTGGTAGTAGACGAAGAGGGCTTCTTGTCTGAGATGTTTTTAATGGCTATGATAGCCAATGTACCAAACATTGAAAGGGTTTTAGTAAATGGAGATTATTACCATTTGCCCCCATACACAGGCGCTTTCCCGAACAAGGTCATGTACTTGGGATATGATGAAACGATCGAGAAACTCATCGACAACCCAGTCTTCAGGTATTTGTCCTTAAGCAAAAATTTTAGTAGTCATACGGCATTGGTCGAGGCACTGTTAGAACCTTCATATGGGAGGCAGTTAGCCCCAGGAAGGACGATGGAAAAACGCCGTCAATGGAGGATACTAAGTTTCCCGACTCCGAATGACAGTCTTCTTATTCTTACGTCACAAACAAACGTTTGAGAACAACTGAATTTGGGGCGAAGCTGGTCAGATGACCTTTACAATGAGGTAGACGTGTGGTTGAGGAAGTCTATCACCGACAAGATTCCAACAGCACTGATGGTAATTTTGTGCTATTACTCGGCCTCAGTCGTAGGAATCACAAGATTAGATCATAAAAGCCAAGGTGTTTAGCATTAATTCTCTACCGAGGAAGTTAGTACGATTTCTGCATCATGATTACGGCACGAGTGGCAACAGGCAATGGAAAAAAAAGAACTTTGGTTTAGATTCACAACGCACAACTGTCGCGAGCAAAGGAGGGAACAGTAATAGAAGATGAGAAGGGCGTATCTTATCAATCAGAGGTTTGGAAAACATTCACTGAAACGTATTCAAAAGCTACAGATAAATTTTTCCATTTTGCGAGTGGGTCCAAGCCAACGAAAGACTCAGAACTGGCTAAAAATCATATTTTTTTGAAATACTTTTGAATATTTTAAACGTAAAAATTTTCAACGATTTTTTTTTGTTTTTACAAAATCCACAAATCTTTTTATGCTTTGAAATTCTTGTTATTGTAAAATACCTTAAGGAGGTAAAAAATTAAGCAATTCAATAGGAGTAAGTTTGGGGTGTTCAGCAGGAGGGGAAGAAAGAAGAGAGATGCAATTTTTAAATTTTCAACAAATTGTATTTCTCTTCTTGTAATTTGATCTTTCTTGCTTATTATTCATTTAAACTTATACTCATTAAGCTCTTTGAACTGACGGATCGCAGTTTTTTAAGTCAGTAGGTGTTAGCGCAGCGTTTGTCGCACTCCTAGGTATTGTATGAGTTACATTTGTTAACAAATGATAACTGTTTCAGAAAACCCCTCATCATAATAGTGTCATCCGTCTGTCGTCAAGGCATAAACTGAGCCTTTGCACACTTCGTTGTGTTTAATCCTAACCCGATTCTTTCCAACACGTTTCACACCAAAGCAAGTCAACTTTCAAGATCGTCCTTCGTCATCGCGTCTATATAAAATTCATGTCCGAGTTGAGCCGAAAAACCCATAATAGAGTCTATTGCCGCTCTTGGGACTGGCGCTAGATGGTTAAGCACATGAGAAATAGGAGTGACAGATAAAACAAAAAGTGTAGGAGAAAGAGCGTCACTTTGGAAGATGCCATTCTTCTTGTCGTCTCCTCCTACTTCGGGCGACCTCTGTAGACCTAAACTTTCGCTCTGTCGTCGCGAGGTCAGGATCCCAAGGAATTTAAACGGTCGAGCGCTCTTCGACCGCCTGGGGTTTAAGGTTCCAGGTGCACCACAATTATTTGATCTCTCCATATAAGTTAGCCGCTGGTGTCCTTACAGGGTAAAAAAACCAATTTTCTCCGGGTAGCTACCGTCCATCCCGAATATTATGACTCCAAGCAAAAACAACTACCTTTTGCAGAGAAGGCGTATTGATTTCCTTCCTCAACCGGTCCAATCATCTCACCACGGCCTCGGTTTTGTATGCCGATCCTTGGCGGTGGGACTGCTATTAATTTGAAAGTCCACTCCTAGAAATGAACATTATACAGAAAATTTACATAGCCGTAACAATAGCACAAGACGAATGGGTATCACAATCGTACACGATCGAATACAGAGTGGCGAAGATCAATTGATTAGCACTTTAATCCCCTGAAGCTTAAAACCACCGAGCTTGTATACTACCTTCCGCTTTCTTATCTCCCGTCTAAATCGCCTCTCAGTGTAAACTGTATGGTCAAAGTCCACCTGCCGACGGGAGATACGTGCCGATCGCTGTTTACTAAGTGTTCCCGCCGAGTCCCGATCGGCGCCCTTCGGTTGCTTCACGCAACAAACATATTAATCACGTGACAAATACCATGGCAATATTAAAACTTGGGTGGTTTGATTGGACATGTTACTAGACACGAGGCACCCATGTCCTGTAACTTTACAAACATATGAGCTCGTCTTCGTCGTCTGCTCATTAAATGACTAGACAAAATTAGGGCTCGTTCTTCTCCGCATGCGCCACGTATACAGGACTTACACAGTAGGAGTTTGTCCCTCATACCGTGTACATTCCGTACATCACACGAACAAACGTGCGTATCAAAATATACAGAGACTGTAAATAGTCTCCACATGTAAAGTACAGACAAACACAAGACTGAACTTGGACAACTTAACACGACAAATCCGGCTGCGACTATAAGGAACGCTGTCCCGAGGACAAGTCGGGGTCAGCTTCTCTACCAAATCTCAACATATACACTCGTCCTCGTCGACTTTCCTGTAAAATGAAAATAGCCCCCACTGCAACCATAGGCTACAGCAGGGCTAATTCATAACATATAAATACTGGAGATACATGAAACACGTAACACTGGACAAGATTAACATTATATATATATATATATATATATATATATATAT